AATTCCTAACCAGAGCAGAGGCTAAGCAGAGTCAGCCTTGGTTAGTACTGGCATGGGGGTCTGCCAACAAATACCAGGTGCTGTGTAATTTATTTCAGAGGAAGGAACTGGCAAAATCACCTCTGAGTATTCCTGACCTAAGAAAACCCTATGAAAGTCAAGGAGTCACTATAGGTTGATAGGAGACTTGAAGGCACATACACAAACATAGGGACTCAGTCTGCAAGCTGGCTTGATGTAGTGCAGTGGGTCTCTCCCTTTGGTCCTTTGGACAGGTGACTTGGAGGTATGCACACACATATGCACACACCCATCCATCCTTACTCTTTCCTAGCTGTCACCAGGTCTCTCTGGCTCAGCAAAAAGATATTTGTATGTGGTTTGCCTTTGTCTACATTGGGGCATCAAGAAGCCAGAAGCAAAGGGAGAGGAATGGGGAGAGAAACTCTGGTGTATGCAACATTGTTTTGTGCTCTCTTGAGCAATGATGGGAATAGAGTATCACTGGGACTCATGAGTCTACTTGTCTTATAAGCCTTGGAAGCAGTGCTGCAGGGTTAGGGGAAATGATCCATGAAAGCTGGTAGGCTACTTTCCACAAGCCACAGAAATAGTGTAAACCTGGGGGAAACTCCCCATATGTCATGTATTTCCTCTACAAGGGAAAGCAGCAGCTGCTTCAGCTATTGGCTGCATTTTATGGCCTGGTCAGCAATAAAAAATACTTTGCTTCCCCCACTCCTGCTCCGGGTTGCCATATTCCCTGGGGGATTCTGGGAGCTGACATCCAAAAACTAGTATTTCCAAACTCTGCCTGTGTTCTTGCTTTGGACAAGGTATCAGCTGCCATCAAGATTTCCCACAGTACCTCTCATGTAGAACCATATCAGCGTATTCCAGGAAATTAAAAAAACAATTTAGACCCACTGTTGTGAATTTGGCCTGTAATAAGCAGCCCACTAGAAAAAGTGGAACCTGCCAATGAGACTTTTGTATCACACACACTGAATCACCCAAAAAAAAAGACCATGAAAATATTTGCATAAGACTTGCATTAACAATTTTATATGCATAGATGTACATTTAGAAATATTAATAGAAATGCAATACATCTCAGCATAGTATAGAGAACAGTGTCCAGGTAAATTGCATGCCAGCTGTTCAACTTGCTACCCAACTTTTGATGAGCAACAGTTCAAAATCCCTGCTACCCCTTCTTATAATTCTCTATCTTTTAAACAAGATTTGGACCAGACAGTCCTATGGGACATTTTAAAAGAGAAGACTCTGTAAAGTACCTATAGCCACTCCAAGGGTCGCTAAACTGTAGCTTACCCTAGAAAGCGGAATGCAAGTGGCAGTGACAAAGTGCAGCCATTGCTGGAACCCAGCTAACACAAATGGAACCCAGCAATACAGTTTTAAATGTGTAAAAGTGCTCCAGAGGTTGGAGAAGACTGATGAATAAGCCAGTAGAACTTCAAAAACTTGCATGGTGAATTTTGTGCATTTTTGGTTGACCCAAAGGCATTGCTGTTTTGCAGATTTTGGATATTACTGTGTTTTGCTATAGGGCTAACACAGCTATCATTGAACACATTTTCTGAATTGTCCCAATGTGTGCGGGAGAAGTCAAACCCTTATTTTGTTCCCATGTCACTGCCTATTCTTTAGCCCTATCTTTTCCTGTCCAAAAAGAAAACATACCATTCTTCAACCTGGATGTTTTCTTTCCTTAAGTAAATAATTAATACATGAAATAACCAGCAGCTTTGTCTGTTCTATACATAAATCAAGTGTATGCAGGGGTGAGAATGGCAACATCTCATGGGAACCAGAAAGGCCAAATTTAGCAAACTGAAACATAAAATTCCTTGTGAAGCATTTGTGTGTGATATATGTGGGAAACTGGCCAAAGAAAGGCCAAAGCAAGAATGACAGTTCAGTAGGCAACTACTGTTACAGCTTAAAGTCTAATGGGATTAGGATCCAGGGGCTAGCAACATCCCAGCATCCCCATTTAAAAAGCCAATGTAGTGTAGTAGCTCAAATGTTGGACAAGGACTTTGGAGATCCAGTTTCTAATCCGCCTGAGCCATAAAACTCATTGGGTGACCTTGGGCTTAAATCCTGACTGATTTCACTGTTGTTGTGAGGAGGTCATATGAGGGAGAAGAGACACATATGCCATGTTGAGCTCCTTGGAAAAAGGCAGGATAAAAAAGTCACTGATAAACCACAATTTGTTTTATGAAAAATTCTTTTGGTTGAGTTCCCAACAAATTAGTTTGTGTACAGTTTCAATGAATAGCTCACAAACTAATAATAAACATTTACATACTCCTTGGTTGTTCCAAGTCATCCTAAATAATCATGCTTTCTAAATCTACTGTGTAAAGGAAATCCACATCCTCCCAAAATGACAAATATAAAATTCTGATTTTCTCTCCATTCCATCATCATCGTCAACATGAGAAAGTCCCATTCTTTGTGAAGTACAGCTCAGGTACATGATGCCTACGAGCTGGGCACGGAAGTTTGCAAAAACATTCATTTTTAAGTGATTTACGCTCATGCCCAGCCCATGCAAAAAATGTATTTGAGAGCCGAGTAGGGGCCAGGGAGTC